CCTGCTGTGTTTTCTGATAGGGTTATCTCTACTCTGGATGATCACCTTACCTCTATTCGTGATACCTGGACTAAGGTTCACTCTGCTCTTGAAACTGCGGCTGCTCGCTTTAAGTTTCTTGCGGATAAATGGCGGAGTGCCAATCCAGTTTACCAAGTGGGTGATTGGGTTTGGTTATCCTCACGCAACATAAGTTTGAAGGATGCCAGCATGAAGTTTGCTCCGAGGTTCCTTGGTCCTTTTCGTGTGCTTAGGAGAATCAACCCCATTTCTTATTCTCTGGCCATCCAGTGTCCTTACGTATACCTAATACTTTTCATGTGTCCTTGCTCAAGCCACTTGTTTGCAATCGGTACACAAGTCTGGTTGTTCCCCCTTCTCCTATGGTTGTTTTTGGACAGGAGGAGTATGAAGTCTCCTCCATCATTGATTTCAGATTTGCTCATGGTTCCTTACAGTATTTGGTTTGGAGGGGGTATGGACCTGCTGACCGTTCTTGGGTTTTGGCTTCTGATATCCATGCTGGCCGTAAGATTCGTTCATTTCACTCCAAGTTTTCTCTTAAACCTGGTCCTGCCCGCTCTGTGGGCGGTCTTCAAGTGGGGGGTAATCTCACATATTCATCTGCGCATAAAAATGTGGTTAATGGCATTTACCGTCCTGACAAGAAAAGTTGTGCCGAGCAGCATTACCGTTCTGACAGGAAAAGTTGTGCCGAGCAGCAACCATGCTCATGAAAACGTGGTAATTAATTTTGGGGTCAAAGGCCGGTTACAGCCAATTGGATCCACAGGAGGGGTATTTAAACCCAATTCTCCTTTTGCTCATTGCCCTGTCGTGGTTTCATCCTGATGGTAATCAGAGAGTGCGTTCCTGATCTTGATTTTTCTGGTATCCTTGACTTTTGGCTTTCCCTCATCATTGTGTCCGATTCTGTGTTCCTGATCTCGGCAAGTATTTTGACTATTCTTGGATACGTTAAGTCTGGTCATTATAAGGTCCAGTTATACGTTATCCTTAGTCCTAGGTGTGACACAGTTCTGCATTCTGGATTAACTTGTAATCCTGACATGGGGACCTTGTGGATTTAGTGGTGGGCTTTAGGGACAAAGGGAAAGGAGTTCATTCCCGTGCTGGGACCCCAGGGAGGGGGAGGATATTGGTAAGTGATCCTGTATGATTGTGTGGTAGACCCCTTGTATGGGGCCTGCAAAAAATTACTCTATTGGCCTCTTTAAACTAGTGATGTAAAGAAATTGTAAGGGACACACCTAACACTCTAACTCCAACTAATTCTGGGACTCTGAAAAATCTTCTCCAACTGAAACTTTGAAAATCAGAACTCTGATAAATTTCGTATTTCCAACAATTCACTATACTCATACTTGCATACACAATTTATGGAATATCTCCAAGCTAAATAAATTCTACCAAGAAAGCTGGTAAATGTGCTGGTTTTATTTAATTCAATTTAATTTAATCAACTTTGACTAAAAGCAGAAATATACCTGGACAAAGGCTGATCAGATTTCTAACTTAGAAATCATAATTAGCTAATGAAATATCCTGTTCCAATTTCCTTACTACAGAAGGAATAAGTGAATAATATATTTACTGGTTATTTGCCAAGTTTAGCATATTAAGCTATTATCCAGAGATATTGACTCATCTGAATTTAGGGATAGTAATCTTTAATCGGAAAATCTGGTGAGAATTTTTCTTATTGGTTATTGAATGAGAATGAATGGTTAACTGATATGGTATGAGAAATATTGTATTTGTCCATTGCAATATAAAAGGTATTTTACCTGTGAGAATTGTAGCCAGCAGTGAGTGAGTTAATTCAGTGTGTTTAAAACTGGCAGCGAAAGTTTTATTGCTGTAAGCTGTGCTGGGATGATATGATGTGTTCTGTGTAAAGGAATTTTCAAAGCTGTGAAAAGTTCTTCATTAAGAATTGCCTAGCTGATTTCCAAGAAATTGTCCTGTCGTAAATCTTGTTGAAATTTGCATCTATGTGGATAAAAATGTTGCTATGAACTATCTGAAACTGTGTTAAACTATTGCCATATTGTATACATCTGTTATACCTAAATATTTACTGATTATTGTCATGCATGTTACATATTATTATAATTATTATTATTAATAATTATTGTCACAAATTATATTTTTATAATTCATCTGTGATTAACGTGTGAAATACAAATTGTTTAATAAAACGTACTCCAAGGTTTATAAGAGTTAAAATAATGGGTAACTCTTCGCTTTAAAGGATCACTATAGGGTCGTGAAAACACAAAAATGTATTCCTGACCTTATAGTGTTACCACCACCATCTAGCCCCCCTGGGCCCCTCATGCCTCCATAAATATAGCAACATCTTACTGTATTCAAGCCAGAAGCTGTAGATCTGTGTGCTGTTTGCCTAAAAAAAAACAAGCAGTCTGTGGATATCAGCAGAAGTGGTGGCCTGATCCAATCACAATGCTTCCCCATAGGATTGGCTGAGACTGACAAGGAGGCAGATCAGGACCAGAGCCAGCATGATTCAAACACAGCCCTGGCCAATCAGCATATCCTCATAGAGATGAATTGAATCAATGAATCTCTATGAGGAAAGTTTAGTGCCTGCACGCAGAGGGGGGAGATATTGAATGTTTGGATGCATTTTAGGCAGCCATGACCCAGGAAGGATCTCTAACAGCCATCTGAGGAGTGGCCGGTGAAGTTATCACTAGGCTGTAATGTAAACACTGCATTTTCTCTGAAAAGACAGTGTTTACAGCAAAAAGCCTGAAGGTAATGATTCTACACACCAGAACAAATTAAGCTGTAGTTGTTCTGGTGACTATAGTGTCCCTTTAAAGCAATGAAGGGGAACAGTGCCAATATATAATTTTTTCATATAATAAAAATTATTAAATTAATTGTTAATAATTTTTATGAAAATATAATTTTTAATATTTATCACCCCATAAATATCCTCACAATTTGGAGGCGGGCTGCTGAGATAATTAGTTAAAATTATTTCACACAGAAATTGGTAGGCATTGCTATTTGTGTAATTCATGCAATAATAGTCTTGGTATAGATAAGAGTTCTGTATTGAGATTAATTCAGTGCATAGAAATATGGCCAAATTTAATACATCAGATAAATCAGATAATGGAACGGTTCACAGAGCTTAAATATGCTCCCTTAGGTATTTTACATGAACATCTGAATATTAAAATTGATTATGAGGATTGGCTATGCCAAATTAGAGAAGAAATTTGGTTATTAATTAATGCAATATCGGATAATTCACCTCTAATTATCCAATCATGTGCATTGTACATAATGGGTTATACAGTTATGCTAAAAGAGCATTATGAGAAAGCACTTAGATTGGACGAATCTCAGAGAAGCCTGATGTTCGAACAAAATAAGTTCAAAACTTTGTCTGCTAAATATGATGTCCTTCAGTCTGAAAACTCTGATCTCTCAAATAGATTGGAAGGAATGAGTAACATGTTGGACAATTATGTGCAGCAGATACAAATTCTGTTAGATGAAAATCAGCAGAAAAGTGAAAAATCACAGGAGAAAGATCCTGATGATTTCTCTCCTTCTCTCATATCCGCAGACCAGATCAGATTTTCCCAGAACAGTCTTGGAGGAAAGACTTGAGCAAATCTGAGAAAACACCTGCAGAATAGGATTCTTCATCTCATGATTTTGCTAAACAATAGCAATCTTGGGCAGAACAGTTTGAAAAGACTGTCTTGGCCAAGCTTGGGGAATGGAATCGGGTTCAGGGTGATAGGAATGAAAGCAAATATGGTTCTGTACACTGTCAGAATTCTGATGCTGATCAGAATGGTGATAGTGAACGAGGAGCTCAGAGTGATGGGAGTGAAAGTGATTGCACCGTCCTCTCTGAATGCCATGTGACTGCTGAGCTATCTGTACTGTTATATGGACATAATCCCTATTCAGTAGCCAGATAGCACAGAAGTTTACATAAAAGCAGGGAAACTAGTAACGAGTAATAAGTCAACTACTCCTGTCTATGAAACAAGAGTCAACTACTCCTGTCTATGAAACAAGAGTCAACTACTCCTGTCTATGAAACTCCTAAAGTAATCAGGTTCCTTAAAGAGACAGTCCCACAATTCTCTAGAAGTTCAGGAAACATATCTGAGCACCTAGAAAATTATGAAAGGGCAATTAATTCATTGGGCATGTATGATGACATCCATAAGAAATGGTACATTACATGGACCTTTGATTCAATGTGTCATATCTACCTGGAAAGTCTTCAAGCTATGCAGTTAATGTCCTGGTCAAAGATGAAATCTGAGATAATCATGGAATATGGTAAGTTTAAAACTATTGCTTCTGCTAAGAAAGTGCTTTATAATTTAAAGTGCCGCCCAGATCGATATAACCAGTCAATCCTTAATATTCTGAAAATGTATGATAAGGAGTCTGGGAAAGACTGGGACATTAAATTGCCCTTAGTTTTAATGGCGATCAGAGGTACACCTAGCACTGCTTCCAAATTGTCACCTTTTGAATTGATGACAGGAAGAAAGATGATTTTATCACAACATTTACTATATGGTACATCTGATCATAGCTTGATCAACGCTGCCACTACACATCAGTACATCGAACATTTGCACAAGCACTTACAGCACGCATTTGCTTTTGCTCAAAAGAATCTAGAAAAAGCAGCGACAGGGGTTAAGACTAGAGTTGAGCGAACCTGGACTGTAAAGTTCGGATTCGTACCGAACATTAAGTTTTTTGGACCCCGGACCCGAACACAGACATATCACTGTATGTTCGGGTTGGAGTTGGGTGTTCGGCGATTTAATGGCGCGTTTTTTCCAATTGATCAGAGTTAAAGGATTTCAAGTGGACTCATTACAAATACAGGGCCTCTAAAGAGTCCTGTATTTTTATTTGTAGTCACTACCTTCCCGTCGGGAGTGGGTCATTTGCGCGCCTGCTGCCTTCCTTTCATGTGGTAGCCGTTTGTCAGGGTCCCTGTATGGAATCGAACCCTAATTCCCTGTTACCTGTGGTCACCATGGTAGGCGCAGTCAATGGCATCGAAAGTTGATATGGATTGACATATGAATGCGTTGTCGCCTTCTCGTTGGGGAGCACATTGAAAAAGTGCTCTAGCATGACGAGCTGGTTGATCTCCTCCGGGAATTTGGCTTGATGGGAGTTGAGCCAGTTCTGGGTGGCCCCCTTGTGATGCCATGGTGTATACCCAGATGTATCAGAGCTTCTGCAGAAAGTGCAGGCCGTCTGTGCACGTTTTTGGCGTTCTCACCCTGCTGCTGCTCGCCTGTCTGCGCTGCAGCGTAACTTCGGCCTTCCCGCTCATCGCCTCATGAGACTGTGTGAGCAGCAGCAGGCGATAGTGGAGTTTCAGATACAGCACGCACGGGTCAGTCGCTCTGCAGAACAGTTTTCTTTTTTTATATGTCCCAAGAAATGCACCGCAGGCCACAAATGTTTCTTTTGTTGTATGTCCCAATATTTTGGGGGCTACTCCAATTAAAACAAAAAATAGATATTTATAAAAAACAGTGTTGGCTACCTCCTCCACCACCGTTTCCACCTACACCACCACGGTCACCGCCTCCTCAACCTATGGGTCACTTAGTATAAACTATGTACACAATAGCAGAGGCTGGTGAAGGCCTTTTCTTCATGCATCAGGAGTTGAGCATGTCTCCATGCATCAGGACTGCAAGAAATGCACCGCAGTCCACAAATGTTTCTTTTTTTTATATGTCCCAATATTTTGGGGGCTACCCCAATTAAAATAAAAAATAGATATTTATAAAAAACAGTGTTGGCTACCTCCTCCACCACCGTTTCCACCTACACCACCACGGTCACCGCCTCCTCAACCTATGGGTCACTTAGTATAAACTATGTACATAATAGCAGAGGTTTGTAAAGGCCTTTTCTCCATGCATCAGGAGTTGAGCTCAGTTTGAACAATGAAAGAGAATACCTTGCACTCCAACACTCTTTCAAATGGATAATTCTGGTGATCCTCCTGACAGCCATGCTTTAGATTTTGATTTATGTTCTTCTAAAGCTAAAATCAAAGATTCCATCTAGTGGTATTTTATGGCTCAGCTGTATTTTTAATTTTTATGTTATTTTAAGTGATTTTAAGTGATTTCCCTATCCACATTTGTTTGTAGGGCACTTGTCCTACTCTTACCCCCATTTTACTTGCTTTTGCAGCCCTCTAGTTCTTTCCAGGACTTTTTTAGAGGCATTTTTGTGGGCAAAAGTTCGGGTCCCCATTGACTTCAATGGGGTTTGGGGTCAAGTTCGATCACGAACCCAGACTTTTTTTTCAAAGTTCGGCCGAACCCGCCGGACTCGAACATCCAGGTGTCCGCTCAACTCTAGTTAAGACGAATTACGATTTAAAAACCACAAAAAAAGAATATGAAATAACAGATCAAGTCTATCGGTATAACTTTGTGCGAAATTAAGTCAAGGAAAATAAAAAGTGGGGTCACATTAACCAGTTGCGTGCTTGTCATCCTAAATTTCAAATAAGGATTATAGGTGGGGATTTGGATGCAAAAGAGTGAATGACTAACCTGGATGAATGCCTGATCCATGTGGTATCGGATGATGTGAAATATTGTTATGTGCCATGATCTCATGTATGTTAATGTCATTAACCATTTCCTTACCATCCAGTAACTACATTTTTCTAAGCAGGTTACTAGCTTTTTTAGTTGCTATAGGCAAATTACCAAGGAGTCAGTAAAAATGTAGTGAGGGATGAATTTATAAAAATATAAATAGGCCGAATGCATAACGTTGAAGAATCGTAAATAATGTGTTGTCCTAGGCCAAGTGATGTCACACCGTTATAAGTTTGTATGCTTAACAATCCTTTAATCATTAGTAGATAAGTCTGAGACGTAATCCTGATTCGTGAATGTCGAAAAATGTCCAAGAAGGATGTGACGTGTTTCTGGATCGTGCTGCTCCTGTGCCAAGAACTATGGAATTGATCCGATCGCAGAGATGGGACCCCCCTCCGGCATCATGATTCAGGAGACACCAGGGTTCACCTTAACTCAGAAGAGGATTCCTGACCCAATGTGTGTTCGTCAGCTTGGACCCCAAGATGTCCATTGAGAAGGCGTACAACATTTCATTGACACAACTTTCTGAGTTACAAGCCTGGTACCTGATGCACCTTCAAAGAGCACAGGACTGTGTGCAAAACATCATGGAGTAAGCACGGAAATCTTTTGTATCCAATACTATTCTGATGAGCAACCAACCCAAAAGGTTCCTCACCGCTATAATCGTTTAATTAGTTTGTACTGCTGTTGGTGCAGTTGTCGCAACTGGAATGACTGCAGCTAACTCTGTTTCAGTCCAAAATCTAGATATGGAACTCTTTGCACTAAATCAGCACATTGACGATATTCATCAGGTGATAAAACAGCAAAGAACACTTCTCCAGGACCTGTTAACTATTGTGGAAGACACAGTTGTTACAACAAATTAGCATTCGGAGTTAATTTCCATGTCCTGAGTTGAACTTCTATTTCTGCATGACCCAATCTTATTCCACACACTTTGTTTCCTTGGTGAAGTGCAAACCGGAATGATTGACTTGGCAGGGTGACGCATACCTCTGTATTTTGTATCTAAGGATATTGTTCATGCGATGCTTGACAATGTGGATGGAGATACAATTGAAACTATGCAATTAAATCTTGCCTGTGAGATGGGGGGTGTCCTATCTTTCTTAATTGACCCACAATGCATGGAGATTTGCTATTTCTTGGCCATACCAAATGTAACGCCCAAAAACATTTTCCAAATGAAAACAATTTACAATGTTGGTACATGGAAGGAGGATATCCACGTATAGGTCCAAACCCCTAATGCTTTGGCTTTCCAATCATGCGTACCAGACTGGCATTCAATACCCATTTTGAATGACTGCAAGAAATTTAAAGACAATAATTTCCACTGCAATGGAAAACCTTTTGTGTATGATTCTACCAATGCTTTGTGTGGGATTGAGTATTTATGGAATATCTCCAAGCTAAAGAAATTCTGGTTTTATTTAATTCAATTTAAATTAAATTAATCAATTTTTACTAAAAGCAGAAATATACCTGGATAAAGGCTGGTCAGATTTCTAACTCAGAAATCATAATTATCTAATTAAATATACTATTCCAATTTCCTTACTGCAGAAGGAATAAGTGAATATTATTTTTAGCATAAGTTTAGCATATCAAGCTACTATCCAGAGATATTGACATATCCGAACTTAGGGATGGTAATCTTTAATCAGGAAAGGTAAATCCTCTGCAAATTTAAAGTCTAGTGAGAATTATTCTTATTGGTTATTTGATTAGAAGGAATGGTTAACTGATCTGGTATGAGAAATATTTTATTTGTCAATTGCAATCTAAAAGATATTTTCCCTCTGAGAATTGTAGCAGCAGGGAGTGAGTTAACTCTTTAAAACTGGCAGCGAAAGTTTTATTGCTGTAAGCTGTGCTGGGATGATATGATGTGTTCTGTGTAAAGGAATTTTCAAAGCTGCGAAAAGTTCTTCATTAAGAATTGCCTAGCTGATTTCAAAGAAAGTGTCCTGTTGTAAATCTTGTTGAAATTTGCATCTATGTGGATAAAAATGTTGCTATGAACTATCTGAAACTGTGTTAAACTGTTGCCATATTGTATACATATGTTATACCTAAATATTCACTGATTATTGTCACTCATGTTACATATTATTATTATTATTATTATTAATTATTGTCAAAATAAATTATATTTTTAGAATTCGTTTGTGATTAATGTGTGAAATACAAATTCTCTAATAAAACGTACTCCAGGGTCTATAGGAGTTAAAATATTGGGTAACTCTATAAATCAATCAAGGGGAATAGTGCCAATATATACATTTTTGATATAATAAAAATTATTAAATAAATTTTTGATAATTTTTATGAAAATATAATTTTTAATATTTATCACCCCATAAATATCCTCACAACTTGGAACTTGTTTTGTCAATTAATTGTATGTGTTAATTATCCATTGTTTAGCTTGTTTGTTTTTAAAGTAATAATGAAAAAAGTATGTAGCCACTGTTTTGGTTTTTATATATTCTGTTTTTAGAGCGAATGAGTTGGAGATAGAAGTTGGAGTAACTGACCTTAATGTGAAAGGAACTATTTACCCAGTGAAGAGTTTAGTGCTACACAATGAATACAATTCAGAGAGAGACACACATAACATTGCTCTACTGGAGAGCTTCCGTGAGATCCAGTTTAATGACTTGGTCCAACCAGTCTGTTTCCCTGAGGACCATGTGCTAGAAATTGATCACTTAAGTAATTGCTGGGTAGCTACCTGGAGAGAACAAGTTAAAGGTAATATTAAGGTTTCTTATTGGAATAATGAGAATATGCCGAAAGAATTTAAAAGGTCACAGAGATTGACTAAGGAATTGAAAAATGATGTCCTCCACGTGCCCGCTGCTTCCTCTTTTGGAGCTAGCATTAGCTGACAGTGTCAGCGGTGCTCTCTCAGCCAGTGAGCTCCTTCCTGCACTGCACCCAGTGGTGTAATCTGGTTTTGTGCTGCCCTAGGCATGAAAAATCTTGGGCAGCCCTTCCCCCTTTTCCAAATTTCTCCTTCTGACAGACACATACCCTCACTGATGCATGCACTGACATACACTTAGTTACAGATACACAGTCATTGTCGCACACACTGTTTAACTAACACACACTTTCACCAAAACACATACATTTATATGCATACACATTCACTCATTCACTGTTCCACACACTCACATTCACTGACAAAAACACATATACACTAACTGGTAGACACACATTCACCGGGAGACACATACACCCTCACTGACAAGACACACATGCACACTGGGACACAAATATACTCACTGACAGATACGCACTGACAAACACACATACAGACAGACATGCATACACACACTGACACATGCGGAAACACTCATACATACAATGACAGACACGCATATACACACTGACAGACAGGCATACACACACTGACACACTCATACACACATTGACAGACACACACTCTCAGTGACAGATACACACACACTGACAAAC